AAATTCGATTCGAACTTTTTATCCAATTTCAACAATTTTAATTCGCCTCGATCAAACGTCACAAATTCCATTCACCCAAATCGACACGAAATTACCTATCCGTCGAACGCGCGTTACATTTAATGACGTAAGGCAAATAGTTGCGTTTTGATTTAATGCAGGCCGAGATTGTAGGAACGCGAACGTATCGAATCCATCGTGAGCGGAAACTAAGGAAAGAAGAATCGGTATTCTCGTTTCTGTACGCGTTCAGGGATCGATCGGTCGATTATATCGTATTATACGCAAGCGTACACTCCACGAGTTCGTCGTTTCGTGTCCAGGTCGGTGTAAATAGTCGAGATCGTAATCGTTTGAATTCCCGGAAAGAAAACCGCTCGAAACATTTTTCTCGAACGAGCCTACCATTCGAACCGATAAATTTACGCCGTGGATCGTGTCTTAAAATGGATGTAACGAATTTATCGTTCAAAATTACGAAGGGAATAAACGCGTGCGTAAATTTCGGTTCTTCGTTTAAGCCGTCAATTGCTGTCGTTCGAGAAAATCCTCTGCCTCGTGATTTTAACGTATGACACGAGTCCTCCTACAATTTAGAATTTTCGTTAACGAGCGGAACAACGAATCGTGGAAATATATTTCCCGAGGCTGATGCAAAGGTAATTCAACATGACCATGAGAATCCAGCTGTTTGTTGGACTCATTAAAGCAGTAGAGACAAGTTTCTCCATTATAATTGTCGAGTGGAGGTATGATATAGCCGTGATATCGCGGTGCGTTAATTATCGCGAGGAATAATTTTTTTCCCTTTTTTTTTTTTTACTTCATTGAACTCCACGTTTCATTAAAATATAAATACTTGTTAATTCGGAATACGTATATTTTTTCTTTTTTTTTTGGAAAGATTACAAGCGAAAGTGTAAATAATTCGAAAGCTACGCTTAATGCGAACTGATCTCGCGAACGGATTGTTGTATCGGTGAAACAATGATTTTACCAAGCTTGCAATTAATTAACACGAAGACAATCAATTTATTCCATCCGGTATACAACAAACCAATTAACCGTGTCATTAACCGAATTACCGAATTCTATACGAGTGTAATTCGTAAATGTAATATTGTTCTTCTCAAAAAATAGAAGCAAAAAAAAAAAAAAAAAAAAAAAAAAAAAGAACGATTCAAATTTAAAATAAAATTCAATGTTCCGATCAAAGCAACGAGGGAGCCTTTACTTTCAATGGTTCGTTTCGAGAGAACGATTTCGAATTTCGTGACGGTGACCAGACAATAAGGGTCAATTTACCCTTACGAACGATATCGATTCTCGTCAAAGCGTCTCGTTGGCATATTTTTTTCGCCGTACGACCAGCGACCTCGTTGAAAAGCTTTCTAATTAACTACAAGGAAGAATACATACATATATATATATATATATATATATAAAACGGAGCTCGCCTCGGAAATTTCGCGTGGACGAGAGAGAGGATGGCGCGGCGCGACACAGGGGCGAGATCTAAATGATCAGTCTATTACAGGGTTATCGCGAGAGTCGTAACGAGGCTTGATCATGAATCGTCGCCGTGGACACAGCGAACCACGGGGAATGAAATGCGAAAGAATAATCGGCCGAAGGTGAAATCGGGGGATAAAAACGAGGGTTGTAATCACATCGTTTCGACTTTGGTTGAAATTTGACGGAAAGAGAAAAATCGGCGGACGGATTTCGATCGAGATCGATTTCAAGAACCGATTTGCATAAGGATTGCCTTCGTTAGAAGGATAGAATTCGAAATTTTCCAATCTGGATGTGGCGTTGCGGAACGAACGTTGTTTCGAGATTGCACACCTTTTTCTTCACGTCTTCGTGTTCCTGTTCCATCAAATTTTGTTTGCGAATAAGCGAATTCTAACGATAATATTCGGCAAAGAAATTTAAATTACTATCGTAACGTGCGTGGCGTGAACAATGAAAATCAGTCCCGCCGGTTGAAAAATATTCCATGACGTTTCTGACTTACGAATTATTCACAGATGAACGATAATATTTGTGAAAGATACGCATAAAAGTTTTAAAATATAACATGAATGAACGTCAGAGAGCCTCCTATCTAGGCTTCATTCATGATACATGACAATCATTCGTATAATCTTATTCCTTTAAATTTATGTATAACATGCGTCGTAAACTCGTGTAGCGTGTGTTTGAATTAACAAAAAAAAAAAAAAAAAAAAAGAAAGAAAGAAAGAAAAAAAGTAGAATTCCAAGTAGAATTAATCGATTGGTCCCCGTATATTCGTACGTAAGATGTATCTCACAAGGCACGCGCAAGGTACAGGGAGAGAAGAGAAAATCGATAAAGGGATTTCTTTCAAGCCGTTTTCTTTCAAGATTCTCCGTCACGAATGTTTCGGGAACAAGGCTAAAGAACGAACGACGAAAAGACGATCGCGTGGCGTGGATACAAAGACTTTTTGCGGCGAACCGAGAGTTTTTGACACGAACCACCGTTTCTGTCTCTCGTGTGCCCTTTTACCATGCTTTCTCCGTGGTGTGACGGCAAAACAATTTCCACTAACCAACTTACAACCCAATATAAATTGTGATACCATTATCATCCTCCATTACGCGATGCACTTTTCTGTCTCTTCTTGTAAAATTCGGAATACGAGCGGTTGAAACGAACCGTTTTTTGATCCATCATCGGGTTAGAAATAATTCGAGGAATCGAATAGCTTAAGTAGACCTAGATAGACAATGGTCAGACGATAGAAATTTTTACGATAATTACGTACAAAATTTGGTTATTTCTTAGAAAAACTTTTTCAACGATATTTATATCTTCCTCCATGCGAGTAACGCGATAATTTTATCGTTTGATCCCTGATAGAATAAGGGGAAAAGAATGCATTAATAGGGAATGGGAATAGATAAAAACAGTATTTGATATTTAAGTGAATTGCACTGGCAATGGGCAGGCATTAGAGACAATTTCATTCGCGTTCGCTCGCATAATTTCCAATCGCTTTTCTAATTATATAACTTTATTACTCGTTTATTTATAACCATATCGCTTGTTTTTAATTTATCCGCATTTCAAATACATTATATAGATTTTATTATACGTTGCCAAGTTAATTCCGTTAGATTACTACTACGAGGATAATTAGACACCTAAAACATAAAGCTTGTAAACACGAAGAAAATTGCGTAACAACTTGCAATTAGACGGTCTATTGCCTTTAGAAACCCTGTGCTTACCACTCGATCTCGAGCGTATGCCGGATCGAGTTGCACGTGGTTTAAGTAGACGAAGATAGTAACGAGCAAACAAGCGTAAAATCGACTAACGATGCACTCGGGTTAATTTTCATAATTCATCGAATAGAGGATTGAAACGCGTCACTGGCTATCGCGAATGATTTTAGCATCGGCAGCTACGATAACACGTAGTCGTAAAATCGCAGCAGTGAAATTAACGAAACTCTTGGAGTACTACGCGAGTACCGAGGAAAACTTTATAATTTCCATTAACCAGCGAAATGAGTTTCGTAAGATTGCAAAGAGAGAGAGAGGAAGAGAGAGGAAGGAACGTATCCTCGTTACGATTAAACAAATTTCGCTAAGAGAATGCAAACGTTAACAAAAGGGAGGAAAAGGAGAGACGAGGAAAAAAGAAAAAGATATATTTCGAAGAAAAACTAGGAGCAGAGTTTCAACGAATTTACGTTACAAGGAATCGACTAATTCTTCTTCTTTTTTTGTAATATAATAATAATAAAAAAAAAATTGTTGCCTTACCGTGTTCGATGCTTCTTATATTTTCCGCAAGAATTTTCCTTGCATTGAATTTTATAGCGACCTCGAGGAACACCGTGGGATGGAAATATTGTCTAAAAGGGTCTCGGATAATATTAAAACTCTTTACGGTAAATAATTAAGTTTGCAACGAAGCAGTTTCAGTTTACCTTCGAGAACAGGTATCCGAAACATTTATAGAACTAGAAATTGCATTTCTTCTTAAGAGCAAAAAATAGCGTACGGTTAAAACAATATCGCTAGATATCGTTTAGTTACCTTGATAAATATTCGATTTCGCAAATAGCGAGCAATTAAATGTAACCCTGCTTCAACTCATCCTCTACGCCTCCTCTCTTATTTTTAAAAAAAATTCCAACGGATATAGAAAAGAATAAAAAAAAAAAGAAGAGAGAGAAAAAAAAGAAACGATACGATAAGGCGAATAAGTTTGGAATTGAGCGGTATATCTCGAAGATTTAGATAGCATCCTCGAGATTTCGCCTGAGGTATTGGCTGGAACAAGCAACTGGACATAAATCCCTGTTTGCTTTGTCGTCCAACGCACGGGAGAAGGTGAAACAAGCCTGATTGGCAAGTTAGATCCTCGGAGGCTACTTTCGGGAGACGTTCTCCCGGTCGATAGGTCATGGTTCGAAGTATGTGCAAACATAATTTCGCTAGTGCTTACAAAGACCCTTTCACAGAAAGGCGTTCGTAGAAGCGAAGAGGATGGCGATAATTTACGTTACTCGAGGAGGAGAAGTCGCATATACCGAACAGAGACTTTTCATTTTTTAAGAAATTTACCAACGAGAGCACGAGATTTGCAGAGAAATAATCAAGATGCAACGCACGTTTAAATTTATTTTTATTAAATGCATCAACAAACTAATTTAAACGTAAAAGTTTGCAAATCAATTATAATTGTATAATTCACTCTCCTCGTAATTCGTAATAATAATAATAATAATAAAAAAATAACACGGTAATAATATTTTTCATTAAATATTCATAATCGAGTCGATGAATATGAAAGAATTCAAGTTCGTCAAGCGACAAAAAAATAAAAAAATAAAAATAGAAGCGAGTACTCTTTTCTTCTCAAATTAATAAACGTAACGCTCATCCAGCCGATAAAATGGCGGGGAGAGAGAAAAAAAGGAGTTGTATCAAAGGATCGATTAATTAAATGGACTTGCCCTTAAGCTCCATGTCCGTGACCTGATCCGCTTTGTAGGTGGCCGTCTCCCTGCGATCCCCAACCATGAAATAAATATTCGTGTATTCCTCTTCGTTACCACCGGTCCCGTTCCTCGCCTCGAGGTCCATGGCCAAACGACTAATATCGGCCTTGAACCGGCTTCCGCTCCTCTGTGCTCGACCTTGCGACGACTCGCGAGCCGACCCGGCCGCCTTCCTATTATTACTCGGGGCTGCACAAACCATTCCACCGAAAATCGTTCCAAAATCGACATATATATATATATATGTATATCATGATAGGAAAAAGATAAGGATAAGAAAGGAAGGAGAGGAATCAACTAACCTGTGGTCGGGTGTAGAGAGATAGCGGTATCCTCAGCGAGCTCATCGTCGCATCGCCGCCCCGGCGGCAACAACCGGGTCACCCCCGATTATCGCACCTGTCGACTTCGTACCTGCCGTGGCCAACACCCGCAGGGTGAACGATTCAGCGTTGCAGGATCCCGTCGATGACCGTCCAGCCGCCAACCGAGAGGACGACCGCTCGTCTACTACCAGCTCACGCTGCGCTCCTTCATGGTCCATTCTGTAAATTTCCCAAAACAACGTTCCTTTCTTATCCATCTTTCTGTTATCTATTATCTCCACTTTCTCTTTTCTCTCGTGTATATAATAACACCGCCCTTCCTCGAAATTTCACCCGAGAACGGATCCCACCCTGATCGGTCGGTCGGTGGTACGCGAATAAGAAATGCACGTTTGGAGGAACGCGTGGAGCGAATCGATTACAGGCCGGCCCGACATACTTGCTTACTTCCCTCCGTCCAACCCTGTCGAGCGAAATGCAAAGCGTGGACCGTTTGAAAAATTCACCGAACACCGAACGACGAACAACGAAACAGCTGGAGAGTTGGAGTTTTCCTCCCAACACCGGTGTACTGTACAAACTTGGAACGAGGCAATAAATTCAAGATAAGCAAAAAGATGGATGGAGCAAGAAGTGGTACTCGAGGATGAATATTGAAAAAGTGTGGGAATATAGATGGGAGAACTGGAAAGTTTCGTTCGAACAAAAAAGTGATGCGGTGTAGTACGCGTTGCTTCTTCTTCGTAAATTTTTTTAATTTACACGGCCTACTATATATATATATATATATATATATATATATA